TTGGTAGACCACAATAAAAACATTATCAAATCCTTGAGGAAGTGGAAGATTAAATAATATAATTCATAAAGCTAGATTTTTTAAAGCACTAGAGTAAATAAAAGAGGTTAAAGGAGTCTATGTAAAACATGTTAAGGCATTTGGTTTGTTAATGCATATTGTACATACAAAAAAAGTTTTTAGCATACTTGAATAAAATTAATTCTAATGTCTTCTAGACACTTAAATTCCCTATTATTAAGGTTTTATAGCACACTTATAGTGAAGATTTACCCCTCTACAAGATCTATAAGATAATTAAAAGGTTGATATAATGACAAGATGTTAAATCTCCTTTATCAAAAATATCCTCAAATTTAGAATAAGTTTAAGGTAAGAGTGGATTTTTTCCTAATAAATGAAGTTTATGCTAAATGAATAGCAATTACAAAGACAGAATCAAAATTTTAATAACTAATATCTCAAAATTTATAAAAAGAAATATGCTAAATTTGAATTAGAAAATCATGAGAATAATACTTAAAGAAATGGAAACTTTTTCAATCATTAAACCACATCTATTCCACTATTAAATTCACGAGATCAAATCAAGAAATATAAAAAATGATAAAGGTCTTTGAGATAGAGATAATATTTAAGAAAATATTGCAATGAGTCTAAAATGTTATCATTTTTTACCAATTTAATTCATGTTTGATGAGCCCAAAAGAGATTTATTGACCATCCACCACTTCAACACAAGTTAAACGATGTAAAAAAGGATGCCACAATAAAGTGTAAATTTTTAGTCAATGAAATTTTGATTAGAGAAGTTAAACTTAATGAATTCAAATTGATTAATGACCTTTAATCAATTAAAAAGGGAATGCACTTTTGCTTATGACCACTTTCCTTCTATATTTGTTATCCTTAATGCATTTCTTCTTTATGAATCTCTAAATATTTTATTCTTTATGAATCTTTAAACTTTAATTCAAAAGATTGTAGATGATTTGAACTTTTATGGATCATCTATTAAATTTTTAAATTTTTTTTCTGCTTACAATTCATCATGCTTCTTTACAAGTTCATACCCTTGTGAACAAAAGCTGAGAATTGCAGCTCTCCCAAAAGCTTTAACTTTTTTACACCTTACCCCTTAGGTTGAACCCAATTGGAGCAAATTAGATATATTATATATCAATTTTACCATATAATGTGATTCCTTTAATTAATCAATAAAGTCAAATCTAAGACCTCTGTAATATCAAATATAAACTTTTGAATTTGAACTTCTTGTGAGGTCACTCAACTTGGGTACTACTCAAATGTAAAAATAATTAACTCTAAGTATTCTAAAACTTCTAACCAATTGGAAAAGAGAATACAGTTTTTTATAGGTCCTCTCCCTCTAAACCCTTATAGATTGTTTTTCAAATTATTTTCTTTAATTGAATTGAATATTTTCATTCTCTATAAGCCTAATAGCAAGTGCAAGGATAAGGACATTACTCCTATAAGTGATCTATATTGCTATAATATATCCAAAGGTAGTTCTTGATTAGATATTGTTGTTTAGCATTAGAAAGATACTATTAATATGTGACTTCAATCTTGATTGCAATAACATATTACTCATGTGTTGGTTGCTCCAAGACTATGGTCATTAGATGAGGAACAAAAGTTTAATGATGATGTCTCAATCAATATTCTTCTTATTATCAAAATAAATAACAAAAACATTGGTAATCATGAAAGATATTAGATTTAGATAATAAAGCATGAGATCTTTGATATCCTCACAAAGGACAAGGTGGAAATATCCCTTATGAACTACATTGTATTATGAAATATTAATGGTGACCATTTAGAACTCTGATGTTAAACATAGTGCAATTGTTACAAGTTATTAATGGTGATGTGCTCTTGATCAGTATTGTTGAACATGCTAGTGAAGTGTTAAACAAAGAGATCAAAGGTTCTAAAGAATATAGAAAACCAAGAAAGAGGTATCCTAGTAAAATTAATCCCATGAGTTAAAGTAGAAAATTAGTGCTTTGAAGTCTAACTTGGTTGAGGAAGCCACAAAAGTTAGATCATATGTTATTAAATTTTGCTAGCATACTAAAATTTAATTTGAAACCAAGAAGTAGTTGGTGTTCAATAATTTATTGGAGTTATGAGTGAAGTGTTATATTATATTGCTCTAACACTTGATATGACTTCCACACAGTATTAAAATCTGATTGGAGCTAAAAAAAAAGAACCCATTTCTATCTTAAGAAATTTTAAAGTAAATACACAAGTGAAATTAATATACCACAATAACAAAAAATATTTTAATCATAAATAAAATATCTACATGAAAGAGAAGATAATTAATGGAGAAGAAAATACCAAAATAATAATCAAGTAAAATGATAATAAATTATATAATGCTATACAAAAAATATATTTTATGGTACTACATCGTTCTCCCATTTTACTGAAAATTTTAAAAAGATTGAGATTATATATCATGAAAGGATTTACATAGAAGCAACGGTAAGAGTATCAACAAGAGAAAATAAGAAGAAAACAGGATAGAACAGATATTGATATTTTAATTATGATTAAAATCTTTTTTGTTGTATATTAATTTTATTTGTGTATTTACTTTTAAAAGTAAAAGAGAAAGCATCATTTTCAGCTGAATGTCTAATTTGACATCGACAAAATTGTGTTAGACATCAATACATATGGAGCTGACTGCTCTTCTTTGATTAAATGACTGCCCATCTCAAACACTCGGGCTGCTCTGACCGTGTCCCGATGCATTTTACATGCACCGAGTAGAGTTGACCACGCCGTACTATCTGCCTCGTATGGCATATAGTTGACCAAGTCCTCCGCCTCCTCAAGACGTCCACTCCGTCCAAGGAGGTCAACCATGCACACATAGTGGTCCAAGATAGGGAAAAGGTGGTAGTCACCACATATAGAAACGAAGTGATTGATTCCAGTTTTCAGTAATCCCACCGCACTACACGAAGAGAGGATGCTCATAAAAGTGACTTCGTCCGGATGGATGCCCTCTATGTCCATCTTTCCAAAGAAATCAAGGGCTTTCTTGCCCCACCCAGCCTGGGCAAATGCTGAGAGCATGGTGTTCCAAGTAACAAGGTCTCTATCTCCAGCCATCTTCTCAAACATTTCGAGCGCTGCATCCAAATTTCCACACTTGCCATACATGTTGATGATCGAGTTTCCAGCCAGAGTTCCAGCCTCGAGCCTGACTTGGATCATCTCTCCGTGGATCAAGGTGCCCTCTTCCAGCACGGAGCGAGTCGTGCAAGCTTCAAGGATTGCGAGGAAAGTTTGCTGGTTTGCTCGAAACCCTTCCAAGTCCATTGTTGCGAAGAGCCTCATTGATTCCTTTTGTTGATCACGCCGAGCATAAGCTTCGATCATCGCGTTCCAAGACACCACGTCTCTCTCGAGCATCCTATCAAATAAGTGCCGGGCTTCGACTAGATCCCCGCTTTGGGCGTAGGCCGTCACCATGCTCGTCCATGCAACCACGTCCTGGTGGGGCATTTTATCAAACATGGCTCTAGCTTCCACAAGCCGGTCACTTTGAGCGTAGGCCACGACCATCACCGTCCAAGTTACTGTGTCTTTGGAAGGCATTGCGGAAAACACACTTCCAGCCATTTCCAAGTCGCCACGCTCAGCATAACCGGCGATGAGCGTGTTCCAGGACATGTTATTTCTTTGTGGCATTGAATCAAACGTTTCTTTGGCTTGATCTAAATCGCCACTTTGAGCGTATGCTCCCACCATTGTCGTCCATGAGATCACATCTTTCTTGGGCATTTTATTGAAGAACCTTTCCACCGCCTTTATATCTTCTTGTTGGGCATACGCTCCAAGCATAGTGTTCCATGATGCTTCGTCACGAATGGGATTTTTCTCAAAGAAGAGACTTGCCTCTTTGACGAGCCCGTGCTGGACATACCCGGCTAGCATTGCATTCCAAGAAACGGAATCTCTCCGAGGCATTTCATCAAACATCTTTCTTGCCTTGACGAGGCCACCACTTTGGGCATAAGCTGTGATCATAGTGTTCCATGAAGTTACATCCGGCTTTGGCATTTTGTCAAAAAAATCTTGTGCTTGCTCCAGCTTTTTGTGATGAACATAGGCTCCAATGATCGAGTTCCAAGCCATGGTGTTTCGATTTGGCATGGAGTCGAACAACAGCCTTGCTTGATCCAAATCACCTTTCTCCGCGTAAGCAGTAAACATTGCCGTCCACGAGACTGTGTCTTTTACTGGCATCTCATCAAAAACTTTTCGAGCTTCTAAAATATCCCCGTTCTTTGCATATGCTGTGATCATGGTGTTCCACGAGACAACATCCTTGCACGGGTTTAGATCAAACAACTTTCTCGATTCGCAAATATCTCCTTTCTGGGCATATGCAAAGATCATGAAGTTCCAAGAAACTTGGTCTCTCTCCTCCATCTTGTCGAAATAAGTTCTAGCTTCTTGCAGATTTCTTCTTCTCGCAAATGCCTGTACCATGATGTTCCAGGTGACAATGTTCTTTTCCGGCAGGGTTTCAAATATAAAAACCGCTTCCAAAACATACCCATTCCGGGCAACTGCTGCAAGGGCAATGTTCCAAGTAAAAACATTCGGATCCGGCATGTTGGAGACAACAGAACAAGCTTCTTCGAGATTCCCACACCGCCCATACATGTCAACAAGGAGATTGCAAAGATATCTGCTGCCATCTAGTCCCTGGAGAAGGATTTCCCGGTGGAGCTGTGTGGCTTGCGAGAGATTCTTGGAGACTCCACACAATTTTATCACCCGTGCGTAGCGATCGACCACTTCCTTCTCTACATAGGGCCGCTGGGCCTCTTGGCTTCTCGCGCGTCCACTAAGCTTGAGCAGCATATCATGATTTTTTAAAAAGTCGAATATGCCGCCAGTACCTTTAAGATTCTGCCACGTCGGCGAAGTTTTTAGGGCAGACGCATTCCACTGTGAGAGTGAGCTCGGCAAGGCGCGAGGAATTTTGATTTGGGAGGCGCCATTTCTCCATCCAGGTATAGATCCGCGCGCGCTTGAATCCCCAGCGCTCGCGATCGAAATGGGGGCGCTGGCGGTCTCCGGGACCGCGCAGATCAAGCAGCTGTTCGAGGAGCAGCACAAGTACCTGGATTTCTTCTTCGCCAATCTCGACTACGCCCAGATCCAGGCCTTCACGGACCTGTGCCTGGCCGCCGAGGGCGTCGTCTTCTTCTCCGGCGTGGGCAAGAGCGGCTACATCGCCCAGAAAATCTCCCAGACGCTCGTCTCCACGGGCACTAAGTCGGTGTTCCTCAACCCCACGGATGCCTTGCACGGCGACATTGGCATGGTGGGATCCAAGGACTTGGTGGTGTTGCTGAGCAAGAGTGGCGCTACCGAGGAGCTCTTGAGGCTGGTGCCGTGCTTGAGAGCCAGAGGGGCGTTCGTGGTGGGGATCTCTTCGCTGCTAAACTCGCAGCTTAGCCGGGTGTGTGACATGCACGTCCATTTGCCGCTCGAGAGGGAGCTCTGCCCGTTTGATCTCGCGCCGGTGACTTCCACCGCCATCCAGATGCTCTTAGGCGATACGGTGGCGATTGCGCTCATGCAAGCGAAGAATCTGACTAGGGAGGAGTATGCTCTCAATCATCCGGCTGGTCGCATTGGCAAGAGACTCATCTTTCGAGTACGTGATTTCTTCCTTTTCTTTCTCTTTTCTCTTGTTGCTTGGTTTGTAAGTTTGTTTTCGTATCTCGGCTTTCAAAGTTGTTTTTTTTCTCCTCCAAGACTTGGTCTGATTTGTTCGTAGCGTAGCTACTTGGTTACCGGATTTTTATTTGTTTCTGTTTTCTTTTGTCTCTTTTCTCTTTGTTTTGTTGCTTTTTCTCTTCGTTTTTCTGCGTGTTTTTCTTGTTTATATCTTTACCATCGTAGATTGACGGTTTTTTTCCATCATCCATCTCAAGGTTCGAGATGTCATGAAGAAAGGAGACGAACTTCCACTATGCAAGGAAAACGATCTGATAATGGAGCAGCTCTTGGAACTCTCTGCAAAGGGCTGTGGTTGTCTTCTCGTCGTCGACGACAACAGGCAGCTTCTTGGTACCTTTACCGATGGTGATCTCCGTCGAGCACTCAAGTCCAAGAGGGAGGAGGTTTTCAAGCTGACTGTCGGGGAGATGTGCAACAGGTATGCAGGAAACCTCCACGTTGTCATAGCTGTTTTCTTTTTCTTTCTCCAGATCTCCGCGAAAAACAACGGCAAATGCGATGGCTGTCGATGCCATGCAGATAATGGAAGGGCCTCCATCCCCCGTCACATTTCTTCCCGTGGTGGACGAAACTGGCATTGTAATCGGCATCGTTAAGCTTCATGACTTGGTTTCCGCTGGCCTGTGACTTATATACCTTCACACACACACACACACACAGGTTATTTCTCGGTGGCTTCTAGATACTGAGTTTCGAAACTGTGGTTCTCTAGGAAAAGTGCTGCCGGACAATAACACTTGTACTCCATACAACTTCGCTTCTCGGTTTGTAAGTTTTTCTCAGGCGAAGGCGTTTATTCGCTATCATATGGACCACTTCTTAGTACTTACCGGTAAATGAATTTAACTATCCTTCTGCCCTGTTGGCATATTGTTTTCGGCACTCAGATCTGCTGTGGTATGACTTCCGTGTGCCTTCTGATGTTTGTTTTAAAGCTCTCAGGGGCTGCATAACCAGCATGGATTACTCTGGTCGGGAAAGCTCAGTTTCTTTCATTTCCTTTTTTTATTTTCTAAGGCGTGCTGAGAATTCGTGCAGGCAGGCAAGGAAAGAAAAGTCGAAAAGAAAAACTCTCGTGAGAATCTCGTGTTACTTCAGACAAACAAGAGCATGGTGCTCCTGCAAGTTCTTTCAGCTTCACTGGTAAAGCAAGCTAGGTACTCATCAGTTAAATGCTTCAGAACTGATCACTTTCCTCACACAAGAGACAGGGAAGGCGATCAGTTCTCACAATCGGGCTGCTCCCAGGAAGAAAAAGAGAAAAACAAAAACAAAAATAGCAAAACGAAAACGTTGATCCTTCGCAGAAGCGTAAACTGGCGAACGCTCCCCGTTGTAAGGTTTGCAAGAGCTTTTCGCTCCTCGCTCTCTAGCTCTCTACAGTAAATGGACAGCGAGGAAGATCAGTATCGCCAACAGGGTTTTGTGTCATTCTGGACGTACATCAGGATCACCGCTGTCTCGAGTCGCTGTCAACGAGACCTACCAATTGCTCGGCTCAATTCAGGGGGCTGATTGCGATGGAGCTCCGCATTTGTTAATTTGTGAAGACAATGCCAGGTAGTTTGCTCTGGCTCCTGCTGCTGCTGGTTTTAATTCGATTTTTTCTTCCTCTCTTTCACTCTCTTTGTTGCGCTTGCAGTACGATATCAGATTGGTGATCTGTGCCCGGCTAGATCTCCTCCCGAGGACCTGTGCTCGTCGCTCCGCTTTAGCTTTTCTTATAAGATTGTTCTCGGACACTGATCGTGAGGTTTACAGATAAAAAGCCACCGGAGTCGAGAGATTCGCTACGAGAAAGCAAGCTGGTTTCCAGTACCCCTCTCTCAAGATCTCTTTTGGAAGGGACTGTGGAGATATAGCCGTCCATATTCCCATGTTTCAAAGCTTTGGACGCTAGAAACACACACGACGGACAAACAAGCTGTGGCTTAAAAGGGTGGCCTTTTGCATTTTGTACCACCCTCAGAGTAATGGTGAACATGTGCTCGCTGGCTTTCTAAAGTTTTCTCAACACTGACTGGGTGATCGATCGCCCCTCCTTCACACTCCATCGAATTCTTATTTTCATCATCTTCACCATCGGCTTTAGAACAATTCACAATGATTTTGCCTTGTGGGTCGAGGGAGCGAATCATGTTTTGTCTGCTTTATCGCAAAGTATTTTTGATCTCCAGCAGCTGCAGTGTAAAAAGTAAAAACGAAAAACATGCGGGTGAAAAACTTGGATGGTGCACGCGTGTGCTGGAAACGAATCATCAGGACCATTCTCTGCTCTTGGTGTTTTCTTTGTATTGCTTCTTGGGCAGTCAGCCAGGCAGGACCAGCTGCTCCCAGCAATCATTTACTCCCAAAGCAGAGCCAAAGAGAAAATTTGCCAGGTATTGTTTCCTGGGTGATTTGGGAAACTTCAGAGGAGAATTAAGCACACACCAGGACTTCATGAACCAGGTCCCATTCTACAACCTTACACCAGCCAGCAGAAGCAGCTAGCAACTGCGAAACTGACCACTCAGCCCAGATGTTACTGCCATCCAGGAAAACAGAGAAAAAATATGAAAAAATTATGAGGAAGATGAAAAATTGCAGCTTTTCGAGGTGAATGGAGAATTGGCAGCTTTGCCCATAATTTTTTAATCCAATATCTCTGCCTGCTGTCTCTGCAAATTAGTTAGATCACTGTTGCATGCTGTGAAAATTTTGTCTGACCATTTTTCTTGGCTGTGGACTATGACCAGGCCACCTCCATCCCTCTTTATTCCTTGGACAGGATTGAGCTAGCTATGCGGTGGGGCACCAAGCAAGCAATTGCACCATGAGGAGGGAGGAGCAAAAGATTTCCAGAGACAGGCCCAAATTGGCTGTCCAAGGAAAACAAATCTCAACACTCACAAACAAGGTCAACTGTTTTTTATTCACAAACACAACAATGGATGATCTCAAGTCTGGGCTCACACCACCACACCAGCACATTTGAATTGATTTGGTTTTGGGATCTTGTCCCTTTGTGTACTTTTTGTAGAGGATTATATAGTTTGAGAGAAAGCCTAGCTCTAGCTATGCATGTCTTTTCAGACAAATTACTTTGTTTTCCCTAGGGGATGTTTGGAAGCTACCATACCCAAAACATTAGCCTTGATTCAAGGCCAAGAAATGCAAAAACTAAGTGTAAACTTCTCACAACCATGTGGTTGCATATGCCTTGTTTTTAAGGAGAGGATGTAAAATTTTCATGTAAGATTCAATGCGTTTGTTTTGCATGGCTACAAGAAATTTTAATATGCTCTTTGAGAGTGATGGGATTCGATCCCCGGTCGGATCACAAACTAATTAAGTTCGTTACGGGTACTGGGAATCGAACCTCCGAGCTGTTCTCAACGGTCATCTGGTGGCGCCGACCGCCGGTCTGAAGATCCGGTCGGCAAGATTACCCACCGGTCAGCGGCGGCGGGGTTGCCACGCGGGAGAGGTGAAAGGTAAAAAAGAAAAAAAGCAAACCAAAGCAAAGCGAGGAAAGCAAAGCGTGCCCTGGCTTGCTCTAGCACGGGGAGGAAAGCAAACGGGCATATTTCTCTTGCGCTCTAGGCTAGCTCGAGCTCGCGATCTTGATCTTGATCGATATTTCGAGCGCTAATCAGGCGCCGTTGCGCCGATAGATCTGAATTGCGGGGGAAATTCCCGGCTATCGATCGATCCGCGGAGATGCTGAGCTGCGTCGTCGGCCAATGCAGGTGATGGAAGTGCGAGCACGGCGAGTGGAGGAGGCTATGCCGCCCGCCGGCGGTGATCGTAAATGTAAGCGTGAGAGGTTTCTATCATCTCCTTTCCTCTCTTTTCTTGATTTCTTGCTTTCATTCCTCTATCGGTTTCCGATTCATTCATCGCTGTGCCGTGTACTCTGTCCCTCTTTCTCCCAAAGGCGTGAACGAATGTGAAAAAGATTGGAGGCAGTACCAGTGATTATAGCGTAGCTCCTCGTCCTGGTTGCGTATATCCTGTTTCTCGAGAATTTGGTCGAAGTGATCGCTTGATTCTTTCTTTCCTTTTCTTCCTTGCTGGAGCTAAGAACTGGACAAATCCTTTGATTATTCCACCGACAGATTTCCCTCTACGGTACGAAGAGATCGCAAATTTGGGGCATTCGCGCAAGCGGCAGGGGCAGCTGCGGCGGCGATCCTCGTAGCGTCTGGCCAGAAAGTAATGGATGGAACAACACGGTGCTGATTTTCATTGAGTTTGAAGATGCTAAGGAGAAGCCTTGTCGCAAGCGAAGAATACGAATTCGCGAATGGGGGTTCGCGCAGCAGCGGCGTGGAGTGCTGTCCAGGGCCTGGGTTCTTCTGATATAAAATTGGGATTCACGGATTTTCGCCAAGAAAGGTGAGTTCTTCTTCTTGCCGCAAATTTAAAGCTTCTCAATTGTTTCCATCGTGATCTTTCAGAGCAGCTTATGCACCGGAGAGAGTGTCAATGCTGCAAGGTAGAAGTAGGCACACCAGAGTCGGGAGCAAAAACGATGTAAGCTTCTTTTCTTGCTCCTTGCGCGTTTTGCTAGTACTTTTTTTTTTTTTCTCTCTTTTCCTTTTTTTCTTGTTGCCTTCCCGTGATCAGTCGAGATCTGATAATTTTTTCTGTTCGAAGGTCGTTGTCGGGCGAAGGAATGGGCTTAGGGAGCGGAGAATTGAGCTGGAGCAAGATGTATGTCTACGTTCTGGATTCATATGGTTGATATCTTTTGTCGTGTGTTTGTCAGGTCGCAGGGTTGCGAAGGAAGCTGATCCAGGAGGAAAATGTCCACAAGGCACTGCAGCGAGCTTTCAATCGACCAATCGGGGCGATACCCAGAGTTCCACAGTATCTTCCGGCTAAGGTATGCTTCTAGAGTTAAATTTGAGCAAAGGCATTAATATGTTCATTTATTTGCTGCAGACCCGGAAGCTCCTGGCCGAAGTAGCAGTTCTAGAAGAAGAGGTGGTGCGGCTGGAGGACCGTGTACTGTGCTTACAACAGGATTTAACCGATGAAGCCGTCTACACGTCAATGTTCTCTGCACAACAGAAAGCCGATGCAGCGGCCAGCTTGAGGAAAGCCAAGCTGTTTTCGGCCGGAGATAAGCGAGCAGCAGCAGGGAAGAAGGACGTTTTGATCGCACAGCTACTGCCGTCGGTAAGAAAGGATGACCAACAACACCAGCAACAAAAGCAACAGCAGGAAGTGGCTACTGAAAGCGTGAAGAAGAAAGGCTTGCAAGTTCAAAAGGCGTCTATAGCCAACGAGGTATCCAATCCGGATCAAGCCGCGGCCAGGAATTTACACAAGTCTCAGCTGCTCAACTCGAATGGATTCGTGAAAGGTGTCAGGGAGAAGTACTTTGGGATCGGCCCGAACGTTAAGCTATCCGTCATTCAAGAGGAAGAACGTGAGAAGGAGAATCTGCAGCAGCAACAGCTCAAGAAAGCCAATCAGGACGTTGAGACTGTTACATTTTCCAGAGAAGAGACGGACAAGGAACTATTACCAGCAAGCACCACAGCGAAGGTACGTAATTTGTAAGTTTATTCAGGCTCTTTGGTTGAGTGACACGAGTATGGTTTTATTTACAGACCGAACTTCATACAAGTTTTAAGGCTCCAACAGTCTCAGCAAAACCTCCCACTCCTACTGCTTCTGCTGAGAAGTCGAAGCTGAGCGGACCAAACAGGGTCTCTGAAGAGCTGGTGAAGTGCCTGATGGGAATCTACGGAATGATGACGAGACTGTACTCGCTCTCCGATTCGGACGCCTCGTCCGTTATTTCCAGGTCCACATTCTCGAGCTTTAGCTCGCAGACAAAGAGCTCGTCCTCGAGCAGCTACACGACGGCCAAGAACGCCTCGGATTTCTCACTCGAGCTCGACCGTGATCCATATGGAGTCTGCTGCCAAGGATGTCAGTCTCGGGACGTCGGTCCCTACAGGCACTTCCAGAACATTGGTGCCGATTCCTTTGACTACAGCAGGATACCAAACTCGGCATCCTTGTTCCGGAGACTGAGGTGAGGTTGTGATTGTATCTTTTCCAGATACTTAAGTTTTTTTCTTTCTTGCAATCGATGCAGAGTTTTGATAGGCAAGCTGGCGGGGGTCGATCTACAACATATGACTCGACAGCAGAAGCTGGCATTTTGGATTAACGTATACAACGCATGCATGATGCATGTAAGTTTTTGTCCGGCTTCGTGTTTGTCTTGTTTTTAATTCTCGCTTTACACCCGACTCCACTCGCTCACACTTCCGTCATGCTTGTGTAGGCTTTTCTCGAATACGGGATCCCTTGTGGTCCTCATCAAGTTGTTGGGCTTATGCGGAAGGTATGCTTATAGATGTGTGTCTGATCTGCTAATCCCATTTTCATTCATCTCCAGGCAACGCTAAATGTCGGAGGATACACACTCAACGCTCTTGCAATCGAGCACTTTATCCTCCGCCTTCCCTCCCACTCAAAACAAGTAAGCTATTCTCTTTTCTATACCAATCAAGTCACGGCTGATGGATGGATCTTTCTGCTTTGCCAGGCTTTTGTAAAGCTAACAAGTAAAGATAAGGCACACATCCAGAACAACTTGGGACTTGAGTGGCCCGAGCCACTTGTCTGCTTCGCACTTTGCTGCGGTAGCAAGTCTTCACCAGCTGTAAGTTTGTCTTTGTTTTTCTGTCTTAGAAAAAAGGAAAGAAATCACGGAACGTTCTTCCAGGTCCGCGTGTACACGGCTGGCGACGTGGAGAACGAGCTGGAGGCCGCAAAGAAGGAGTACCTCCAGGCGGCGGTGGGAGTGAGCCAGAGCAAAGGCAAAGTCCTCATCCCAAAGCTGCTCGACTGGAACCTGCGGGTGTTTGCGAAGGACAGGGAGTCCCTGGTGGAGTGGATCTGCGACCAGCTCCCGGGCGACCTCCAGCGCGAGCTCCAGAGATGCATCGGCCGCTGCTCGCCATCGCCGCCCCTCCAGGTGATGCCATATGACTTCAACTTTCGTTACTTGTTGACAGCGTAGAAGCAAAAGCCCAGTCCAACGAGAGAGAATCAAACCGGGGAAAGCTCGAGGATTGATCAGCCTGATCAAGTCACTGTGACACAGGACAGAGAAAAAGAAGGAGAGAACCATCGCCGCCGCTGCCTCGCTGCCACCGTCGCCGCCACCTTTGTGTATCTGTACAATATAAATTACTTACTGATCGCCAATATAATGGAGTGAAAAGAGCACTCATTTACTGTCGCGAAGACGAAGAAGTTGCCGTTGCTATCGCCAAAACTGTTAGTGGCATTCATTCAAGAGGGGTCTCGATCGATCTTTCTCACTGGGCATTGACGTTTGTGCTCGGGCAAGGGCCTCATGCTTGCAGCCGAGGCCAGAACATCAAAACAGGGACGTTTTGGGACCTTTTAAAGTGTGATGGTCACCCTGAAGAAATAGAAGCCCAGTACGTAAATCTCACATTGATGGAGAAAAATTGACATTGGGAAGATCCTGGAAGGAATAAAAGCACGACTTACCCCACCGTACGAGTTGAACCACATTTTCCATACATTTCCTCTTGGGACATCTTTTCCAACACACAGTCAGTGATAATAAAATCAATTTGCATCCATTGCATTGTGGTCTCCTCCAGCCCAAAAACATGTAATAATTAGAAGATATTGAGAAATTTGAAGGCCTTCTAGCTAGAAGAGAACATAACCACGATCCACACTAAAGAGTGTCTTGCAATTGAGTGACCTCTCACATCGCGTTTCATACAAAAAACAAAAATTCTAGAACATCAATCTCATCCTCTTTACTTCTCGGACGAATTGGGGCCGCGCTTCTTGCCAAATCCAACAACTGGAAACGAGAGAAGCGTGAGCAAAAGCAAGGAGAAAGAATGAAAGAATGGAGGCTTTTCCAGCTCTCGAGAATGCGATTCTCACTCACCCGCCGTGACGAAGCGCCTGTTGTACTGCTCCCGCTTGTGCGCCCGGCCCTTGGGCTTCTTCTTCTTGTCCTGCTTCTGGACCTTGGGCGTTTGTCCGCGCACCTTGCCCGCCCGGGCCAAAGATCCGTGCACCTTACCTGCGACAAACCACACCAAACTATAGCACCACAGCTCTCAAACCGGCGGCCACTTACTCATCCTCTTCGCGCACGCAAAACCCTCCCTGCCCTAAATTAGCCCTAAGTTTGTGTCCCCGATCGACGGTCCTTATGGAATTGGATTATCGAACGGCCCCTCAATTAATCACATTAGTGTAACCCTAAACCAGAAACCTTTATGAAAATTTCAAACTAAAATATTTGGACCGTCCGGATGGGGAAAGATCTGACGGTGAAACGGCCATAAGGTATAAAAGGTGCTTCATTTAGACCCTAGAAACCCTAATATAAAGGCGAGTTTTGAGCTAGAAGCGGTGAGTTCCATTTTTCTCTCTGGTAAGACGCTAGCGCTATGGCTCGCCACATCGCCGCCACTCCGCCACCGGCGCCGTCGCATCATCAGGCACACAACAGGAGGAGGAGCGCGCCGCCGCCCAAGAGCGAAAAACCATCGCCAAGGAGGGCGTCATCTCCGCCGCCGCCACCGCCGCCGCCTCCAGCAAAGACGGTCAAGCCCAAGTCCCCACCAGCGAAGCCGAGGCACAGCAGCGGCCATCCTCCAGCTACAGGGCCGCCACCTTCTTCCGATACAATCACTTGGCGTCCAAGGAGGTTTGGGCCGCCGCCACCTCCCGCTCACGACACGATAGTATGGCAACCAAGGCCGCCATCGCCGCCTTCGTCACTCGGCTGGAGCTCCTCCACTATTGCTCCCCCTCCGGCATCGTTATCGCCATCAGCAGCGGCAGCTGCAGCGTTTGCGACGCCGCCTGGGCTGCTCGTGGCAGGCATCGTCATGTTCCTGCTTGCTATAGTGGCCATCGTCACCAGCATCTGGATACTCTGCAAGAGGAGGAGAGACAAGGTGGCTGACAGCATTTTGGTGGAGTACGTCGGGAGCAGCCATTTTCCTGGCGATGGCAGCAGCAGCAAGCGAGATTGCATCATACCCTTGAGCGAGATCGAGGATGCACGGCTCAGGGACAAGCTCGGTGCCTTCGTCCGAGAGAAGCAGCAGGAGCATCTTCAACCGTCGCAGCTAAATGCCAGTCCTCCAAGGCGCTTGCCTCCTTCGGCATTTTTCGGCGGTGTCCGCCCCGTGGATCCAATCGTTGGGGCTCCAGTTCAACACCACCTGATGGAGGTGCCAACTTATGAGGACGAGATCCGGGGAAGCACGGTGGAGTATCCTCCGATCTTCCATGGCTTCGCTCCCACGCAGCACGTCCACGAGCTTGCAGATGAGCCGCCAAGAACTTCTGTCTGCCGTCGCGATCCAAGTGCTGCACGTCGAAGCGACTACATCGAGCAGCGTTATCAACGAGACCAAGCCAAGGTTGTGGATCCAGTGTGTCGTCCTGACACCGTGTTCGATCCTGGAGATGATTGGGTTGCTCGGCTGGGGGCAGCAATAGAGAAGCGAGAAGAAATGGAGAAACAGATCCAGAGGATCATCGAGTTTGGGATGAAGAAGCCCCGCGTCAAACACGTCCACCGGTAAGTTTTCGTGCTTGATAGAAAGAACAAGCGACTAATGGAGCTGTTTTTAGGAGCCGTGAGGTGTATAAGCACGTGGCTGCGACAGCCAATTCCGGAACTAGTCTTTGCGTACACGATTCGGACGCCCAGGTAAATACCACTTCCTGAGTTTAGAGATTATAACTTTCGTTTGAACTAGCCTTCCACCTCGGAGGCTAACCTTGAGCTCGGAACGTAGGAACGGAAGGAGGTACGCTTTTCAGTCGTTTTGGATTGATGGTTGGTAGGAAGGATCACAAGCAAAACTCTCGTTTTTTAAACCGGAAAAAAGGAAGAAAAGACGGATGCATAAGCAAAAAGCTCTTGGCATTCATCACTTATTTATTTTAAAAGGATGAAACCATGGGGAAACATGGAATTCCCTTCATCCTTCAGAGGAGACATGACAAAAAACACCATGAGGAGATGACAAACAAAAGACACCATATCAAAGCGACTTTGTAGATTATACAAAGGCTTTTGTTTTAAATGTTTGAGAATATTAGATTTATCTTTTATGGTTTTCAATGTTTGAGAATATTGACAGAATAGTGGAGAATGCAGCTTCTTTTTTTATTCTCACACTCATATTGGAAAACTAGAATTAAAAAGATTCAACTTTGGTCTTGGCCTTAATCTCTTGGGACTTAGATGATGGATTGATCATCAGAGTGCTGCAAAAATGCTTTAAATTTGCTCATGGAACATAAAATTGGGTTATGCCAACTAATCATTTTAGGAACACCTTGGTTGATTTGGAATTGCAAATGGTTTAGTGGATCTAAAACTTTTCTCTTATAACATGTAACGAAGGTCTACAGTTATTACAAAACCATAGGGACAGTCTAGTTCTTATAACTCCAATGCACTGAATTGTGTTATTTCATTTCTTCGTTTCTTGTTTAGCAAGAATTATTGTGTCATTAATATCACCATCCTACCATAAAATCCTATGATTTTCTTCTGCTTCATCCTTAAGTAACCCAATTACGCGTTCTCCTAAATCTCGTAAGTTTATCTCGACGTTAAAGTCGTCAACCTCTCCCACGTCCACTGTTAGACAACTGAAAGGGAACCTTGCAATTTGGTCTTTGTCATAAAATAAGCTTCTTTGCTCTTTGCTGAAATGGCTGAAATTTATTACTTATGGTTGAACCCAATACATCGCTATTTGTACCTGTTCTGATTTCTCTATTACTTTTATGTCTTAACCCCAAGAGAAAGAAGGCCCCCGACTTCTTCCAGTCTGATACTTCCTTTACCAGCGTTTCTCTCATTTTTGTAGGTCACTTCCAGAGATAACTGCGGCTGTCTAGGCAGCCTAACTGACTTAGAAGTGTACAGGATATCAAGCTCCTTTGAAGAGCCATCATACAACTATTTTTTGGAATTTCTTATGATAACCAAATCCATACCTAAGGAATGATTGTGAAGTCATTGCACCCAAATGTATACTCATTTGGATTATCGTTTTCATCTCTACATATACAACAAAACTAATTACCCAATCTCATTAAATAGTACTCATTTTTGCAAATCCAAGCCATGAAATGCTGCCTGTGAGGATAACCTGTTTTCTATCCATCCTACAACCCCTATGAACATCACTATGGTCACCGTAAAGGTAGACAGATCCCAACCTACTGTCCCGCACTGTAACAACGAAGTTTACCTGCCATGGCGATTCAATTGGTGTACACCAAGCCTTGTACGAATCTACACAAATGTTATCAACTACCTTGTAAGGACCTCCATCAATGCCCATCTTCATCCCTGACGAGAGCCTGTCAATTTTGGAAGATGAAAAGCAGTCATCCTTCGCCAGCTGCCCAGACCTAAATAGATCGAGACCTTTTAGATTAGGGCTTAGCTTTCAAAATTTGTAAGAATATTATTTAGAAGATAGTTTGTCGCTCAACTTTGCACGGTGTTTGCCATGAGCATATAGCCCGCGCCAGAGGCATCGTCCTTCGCACGATCCGAGAGCTCAAACGCAACCTTGGCCACCTCCACATTCTTGGATCGAGCGCAAGCCCCCAGCACCGACCTCCACGTAACCTCATTCGCCTCGAGTGGCATCCCCCTCACCATCGCCACCGCTTCATCGATCTCCCCCGCGCGCCCCAGCGAATCGGCCATGCAGTGGTAGTGCTCGATCCTGGCCTCCACCCTCTCCTCCCTGCGCATCTCCTCGAACTTCTCCCGGCACTCGTCCACCAGCCCAGCATGACTGCACGCCGTGAGCACCGAGAGGTAGCTCACCGCGTCTCGTCGCACGCCTTCCTCTCGCATCGCTTCCAGGAGGCCGAGAGCTCGGCTGGTCATTCCCTGGTGGCTGTATCCCGCGAGAAGAGCGTTCCAGGTGACCACGCCCCGGCTTGGCATCGCGTCGAATGCCTGCTGCGCGTCGGCCGGGCTCCCACACTTCGCGTAGCAGCTCACCAGGCAAGTCCCGAGCACCGGATCGCTCTCCATCCCCAGCCGGCATATCTCGCAGTGGAGTAGCTTGACAGCGCTCACGTCCGCCATGGCCTCGCAAGCCTTGAGCCCCGCGGCGAGAGCTTTCACGTCGAGGGCGATGCCTGTGGCTTTCATCCGCTGGAGCATCTCCAAAGCCAGTACGCCATCTCCGGCCGCGGCGTGTCCCTGTATGAGCACTGTCCAGGTCACTACCCCGCGGGAGCTCGAGTCGATCGAGAGGAACGCGCTGCTTGCGTCCGCCATGCTGCCGCACTTCGCGTAGAGATCCACCAGGCAATTTGTAACGAAGGCGAGGTCGTCGGGTTTGAGCCCCGCCTTGGTTGCCAAGGTGTGTATCGCCATACCCCGCTCGAGAGCTTTCGCCTTGAGAAGTTTGCCATCCATTGCAGTCCCTGCTTCCTTCTCCGACAAGCTCAAGCACGCCTGCAGAGCAGCAACGAAGACGGGGCCGTCCAACGAAGCACAGCCGTTTCGATCGACGAGCTGCTCGAACAGGCCAAGAGCCAGCTCCCCTCCATCGCTCTCTGCATAGCCAAGCATCAGCTCAGTCCACGAAGCGAGATCGCGAAGCCTCATCCTCTCGAATACCTTGTTAGCGTCAACGAGGCTTCCACACTCCACGTACATGTGAATCAGCGCGTTTCCAAGCACCAAGGCCGAGCCGAAACCATGTCGCACGGCCTCCGAGTGTAAGAACATCCCCATCTCCAGCGCCGCCACCTTTAGAAGCTGCTTGCCATGATCGACTCGAGATCCATCCTCTTTGGCTGCTACGCCCGTGCAAGCCTTGACTGCCGCTACAAAGCTTCTCGCGTCCGGCCGGGAGTTCGACGCGATCATGCTCGGGAAGAGATCCAGTGCAGCCTCGGCCTCGTTGTTTTCAACGTATCCCAGAATCAAGGCGGTCCAGGAAACCACTGTGTGACGAACCATCCGGTCGAAAACCTTCCGAGCATCAAGCATCGTCCCGAGCTTCCCATACAAGTCCACAAGAGTGTTGGCGACGAACACATCCAGATCAAACCCGAACGAAGCAGCTTGCGAGTGAAGAGCCATGCCTTTCTCCAAAGCAGCAAGCCTCTGCCCATCTTCGGCTACCAGGCCGGAGCAAGCCTTGAGAGCAGCAACAAACGTCCGAGCGCTTGGAGCACAATAGCTCTCCCTTCTCTGCATCCTCTCAAACATCTCTAGCGCCACCTTCTCCTCTCCATTCTCCGCGTAGCCCATGATCAACGAGGTCCACGACACCGCATCCGGGAGCTTGATCTTCTCAAACACCTCTCGAGCAAGCAACATGCTTCCACAGTTGGAGTACATATCCACCAGCGCATTTGAAACGAAGATCCCTGTATCCATCCCAGCTTTCCCAGCTCGCAAGTGGACAGCAATCCCTGCCTTAAGTGCTGCTTCTTTTCTCGGAAGCTCTTCCTGTCCATCACCCTCGAGCTCTTCCTGCTTAGCAACGCTGCTGCAAGCCTTGATTCCAGCCACAAAAGTCCGAGCGTTTGGCTTACAGCCTTCCTCTTGGAGCCTGTAGAAGCACTGCAAAGCCAAGCTTCCCTGTCCATTCTCACTGTATCCATAGACCAGCGTCGTCCAAGTCACCACATTCTGGCAAGCAATTCCCTGGAACACCACCTCGGCGTCCCTGACACTTCCACACCTGAAGTACATGTTTAGCAGCGAGCTCGCAACGTAAATGTCTGAATCCTCCCGGCCACATCTCACGGCCGCTGCGTGAAGTCTTTTGCCTCTCTGTAAATCTCGTGAGCTGCCGCAAGCTCTCAGCTGAGAGACCAAGCTTCCTGTCCTGCCTTCCTCGCTTAAGTTCGCAAGGATGTGGGTCTCTCTGGCTTCACTGTTGTTAAGCATGCTAGAATGAAAGAAAAAATTCGAGGCTTACATCTGATAGTGCCGGCTCATCCTTTCTCTTGGAAGAGAGAAAACATACCAAAATGCCGCGCCATACTCACAGAAACTCGCCTCTCTTCTTTTACCTATAAAGGGCCCTAACTTCTCTCTGCAAAAAACATTAAGAAAAGCTATGAACTGGAAAAACACAACACTACTGGGTTAAGTTTTATTGCGAGTGAAATTTACGGATCCAAAAATTTAGATAAAAATCAAAGCCGCGTACCAGATCGTTTTAGAGGTCCAGAACCAAACGAGCTGGGTCTTCAACCACGTCCTTGACTTGCCGCAAGAAAAGAACCGCCTCTCTGCCGTCGATCAGCCTGTGATCGTATGTCAAAGCAATGTACATCATCGGTCGGATGACTATTTCGTTGCCAATCACCACGGGACGCTTCTGGATGGAATGCATTCCGAGAATAGCAGACTGGAAAAACAAAAACAAAATTCAATGAAAACAAGGTCTTCTGAGATGTGAAGGTCCAAACCTGAGGAGGATTGACAATGGGTGTGCTGATCAAACTGCCGTATACTCCACCGTTGGAGATGGTAAAGCTCCCGCCGGCCATATCATCGATAGTAATGGTTCCGTCGTTTGCTTTCTTCGCGAGCTTGGCAATTGTTTTCTCCACATCTGCAAAGTTCATCTTCTCACAACCCCTGACCACGGGCACCACCAGGCCCTGCACAACGTGGAAAAACAAAATTGGTGTTTTTGAGTCTCCGAGAACATGACAATACCTTTGGAGTTCCAACAGCAATGCTGATGTCGACGTAGTCTCTGTAAATGATGTCATCTCCGTCGATCACAGCGTTTACAACGGGCTGCGCCTGCAAAGCGCTAACAGCAGCCTAAAATGACGTCTGTCAGCAAAAAGAAACTCTTGAATTAAGCAATCCACGCCGAATACCTTGACAAACACCGACATGAACCCAAGCTTTGCTCCATGTTTTTCTTGAAACTCGTCCTTGTACTTTGCACGCAAAGCCATTGCATTTGTCCTGTTTTCATAAAGCCTCCTATAAGCGCTCGACTTAAACAAATACTACTCTTACATGTCAACTTCGTTGAAAGTCGTGAGCAACGCCAAGGTGTTTTGAGCATCTTTTAGACGAGTGGCAATTCTTTTCCTGATGCGCGTCATGGGAACCTGTGGAAAAAATACAATAGTTACTGATGTCCCTAGAGACATATGGGAAAACGCTTACTCGTCGCTCCCTTTCTTTGGGAGGTAGTTGTGGTTCTGTTGAAGGCAGCGGCGGTGAGGACGGTGGCGGCGGCGGCGGCGGCGGTTGCGGAGGAGGTGGAGCTGACTTTGCTGTTGCCTCTTTGGGAGGCGGCGACGGCTTTTCTTCAAACTTTGGTGGTGGCGGCGGTGGAGCGGAAGATTTACCAGAAGTATCCCCTTTCGCAACAAAGGCAATCTTATCGCCCGGCTTCACTGTCGTGCCGACTTTGACAACGATCTGTGGAAGAAGAAAAAAGTATATATATATTTCCACTACCCCAGAAGAAACAAAAGCATAGTACCTCTTTCAAAGTGCCAGCAACAGGACTGCGAACATCGATAGTCACCTAGAGTCCCCATAAGAGCTGCAACGTTAACTTGAATGCAAACAAAATCCAAACCTTTTCGCTCTCTATCTGTGCAATCACATCGTCAACGTTAACAGCATCCCCAACCTCTGTGATATTTGTCAAGGAGGTTAGCTTTCGCCTCACGATAAAAAAAGAGGAAAGGAGTAAAAGCAAGACGTGATACTCACGCTTAGAAAAAGAAGCCAAGCTCCCATCTGAGATCGACTCTCCCATTGAAGGGACGATGATATCACCTTCCCCTGTTGTGTGAGAACAATCAACATCGGCAGAAAAGAGGGGCTCGGCTTTGAAGCTTACCCCCAGCAGCAAATCCCCGTCTCGGGATTTTCTGGAACTCCGATTCCAGTCGATCCAACAACACCACTTTCCTGGTAAAATGCCACACTCACACAAAAGCCGCGAGATTTCCATGACCCATACCTGTTCCATACTTGCGATCGCCGCAAATGCAACGGAGAATCTGGCAAAAGACACACAGAAGAAGCACGATTTCCAGTCAAACCACAGCGCAATCGCGGTCATCAAAGGCGGCGGCGGCGGCGGCGTACCTACACACTCCGTGTGGAGGTAGCTCCTCAGGTGGAGCAAGCACAGGCGCTGCTGCAAACACAGACAGCTCGAGAGAGAATTCGGGGGATCGATCGAAATGCGACAAACCTGAGAGGGATCCCTGGAGGCCGCGGAATACCATCGCAGTAGCGGCGAGCGGCTCCGCGCGAGACGAGCTCGACAGCGCTCCATCAATCAAGACCTAGATCCCAGAGTTAGGGCTTATGCCCGGCGCCCCTAATCCTGTTAGGCCACGTGGAACATAAAGACCAAATGATTAGCTTAAATATATTTGTCTTAACATAGTTCCTACCGTACTGTACGAACAGCTTAACAGCAAAACCTATGATACGAATTTGAGCTTATTAGTAAATGTATTAGTACATTTGGTTTAACAGTACTGATTCAAAAATTTATGGGAGTGTGTTGCTACATTAGAGGAATGACTTGGCTTACATTAGCAAAAAACCAAATAACCATTCTCGTTTGAGACAAAATTATCCAAGGGGAACACTACAGAAATATGGTAGCCTGTCTCATTTAAGCAAAGTCCCGAAAGTATTCCGTTGGAATCCACTAAATACTGCTGGCATGTTTTCCAAAAATCACTCCCAAGAACAAGTTTGCCATTGTCGTTGCCTAGTTTAGAACCTATAGGCAAGTTAGTTTGAAACCACCGTGATGGGGCACAAAATGCCCATAAAACACCAACAAAATTGACTGTAGAATTACTACATGATTTAGAAAATCCATTGCAAGCCTATTAAGAATGAAAGGAAAAGAAAGAAAATAAGATAAAAATCTGGATTATATACCTTGAGTGAAAATAACAAAGCGAAAACCAAAATCACTAACATGTAAACTCTAGCTAATGTTTTAGCATCCATGACCAAATCAATACATTACTAAAACAGCAAAGGTTTCTTAAAATAAATACCACTTTCACTGGCAAACAAAGTTAAAGTCGCCTTGTAATAATCTTTCCCACAATTTACTTTAGGTGTCCTACTACAAAAAGAAACTCCTTTACCTTAAAGTTTATTTGAAAAGAATATGCTACTTTTTAAGGTTTTAGATGATCCTAACCGTACAAAAACTCGACATTCGTCGATGCTGAGAAGGAGCTGCCTCTATTATGATCTGTTTTACCCTGTTGGAACTAACGCGATGAAACCTGGCCGAGTTACTCTTAGAATATCGAGAAAAACGCGGCTCCAGCTTTGAACGGCCAGGATGCGATCTAGGGCTACATATATAGTAAGAATCTAGGGCCCTGGCGGCTAGGGTTTTTGTGCGTGTGTGTCGAAAATGGTAAGTGGAATTCCTCACCGCTTCTGTGCTTGAATCGTGTGCTTCTTCCGCCAGGTTCTCTCCAACGACATCGATCTCTTGCATCCGCCGGCGGAGCTGGAGAAGCGCAAGCACAAACTCAAGCGCCTCGTCCCCACTCCCAATTCCTTCTTCATGGTAACCTTGTAGCCCTTTCCCCTTTCTCCCATAGCGCTAATTCTCGTCTCGCCGCAGGACGTGAAATGCCAGGGATGCTTCAACATCACGACTGTCTTCAGTCACTCGCAGACGGTGGTGTTTTGCAGCAATTGCCAAAACGTTCTATGCCAGCCCACCGGAGGAAAGGCTCGTCTCACAGAAGGCTGCTCCTTCCGGAAGAAGAGCGACTAGAACACCAGCAACGAGGCATCAAAACCAAAGTAACGATGCGTAGAGCACTAGCCGTGTGTGTTTGTTCCCTTCACATGTGTAATAGAAAGTAGCCCAATTTTGCTTCAATGGATTGGGATTTTTCTCGAATTCCTTCTTGAGTTTCTTACAACTGCAAGGATTGTATGAGAAATAGCGAGAAGTTCATTGGTAGCTCTCTTCTTTCCAACTCTTTGAAATGCTAAAAGCTTTTCTAGGTCCATGGAGAGGTGACAAACCATGAAAGAAAATCTACAAAACCCCGAGTACCGTCGTGGAAGATGACGAGCGGCGACTGGAAAGCAATCTTTTTCAGGGCGGCTTTGTTCTCAAAGCGAGAACGTCATAAGTAAGTTCTTTGCTTTTATTTGCATTGGATTTTCAATGAGTTTTCAAAAACCACTGATCAAGGTGGAGCAAGAAATAGTTCCTTGGGTACCGACAGTGCTCCTCACGAGAAAAGAGCCAAAACAGCGTCCTACAGTTGTGCTAGAATTTATACTGAGCTCGTCACTCACTCTGTTGGCGGAATCCTGTAGGGCGAAAAGCATTTAAAAATGCAGTCTTCAAATCGTCCCAATCAGTGAAAGCTGCTCTTGCTGCTGCTGCTCACTCTGCAGCAACATCCTTCAGCGTTGCTGGAAAAAGTCTCAGCCGCAAAGTTTGCTCACTATTGGCTGTGCTCACGTTCTCAAACGTGGTGACATGCTTGTCCAGATCACCAAATGTCACATATGTGGGATACTTCATCGGGCTAGTAACTGCTGATGGTGGTATTGCTGCCATCACGATAACTGATTGCTGCTGGTGGTGTAGTGGCGAACTTTAATAAGGTCCCCACTCTTCCTCCTCAGTCTACTGCGACTTTTGTGGTGTTTTGTCTGAAGAAGAAGCTGGATTGTTTTGCTGGCTCTTCTTAAATCTTGCTTCTCTGTCTTTTTTCTGTTTTTCTGATTTCTCCCTTCTAAGAATATCCTCTACGGCTTTTTCTATTTGTTCTTGTTGTTGTCTCTGGCCACACATGCACAACTTACCACTCTGTGGCTGGAGTTTAGCCTTCCATGCTCAACTTCAATGCTCACGAACGTAGCTCCTGGCTAATGCACCAAACATGACAACTAAAAGTCCAATTAGAACCTTGAACTCATATTCCAAGAGCTACGTAAAAACAAAAGCTTTTATTCTTTTAACAATTCAACTAAGACTTCAGCTAGCAGCCTAATTCACTCTTGCCCACAGTGTGGGCACACTGTACTCATTCACTACTCATTAGATAACCTTGCTTATTTCGCATGTTGTTGCACTTAAATATGCTCCATCACCACATCAGCTCTATGCTGTGCTTCATTGTTCTGCCTCTTTGACTCATGCCAAGCTCCACTTGTCATTCTCCTTCCTTCCTTAACTTCTCTTAGCTTCCTTTTTTTGTCACAAACTCTTAGAATATCCTTGTTTTGAATATTCTCTAGAATCTTGTCACTTATTCACTCCATGACTCACCAACTTTTCAAATATTAAAAAAACAAAAGAAAATGCCATACTTTGCCAATATTTTATCACTGACAAAAATATAAAAAAGTATGAGACAAGGGGGAAAAGCTTCAAGGTCATATATAGTATAATTGCGTTGCAATCAATTTATATTAAGGATATGGTCTAAAACACATTATCCATATTGATTAAAATTCAAACTCAAGTTCTCTTATAAGCACACCTAGGTTTGCCTCATCCCATTTAAATACAAGTGTACAACTGTTGCCATAAAAAATAAAAATTAACCCTACTACTTAATGTAATTGTAGATAGTAACATGTCCATATGGCATCGATGGCACACAGGAGAGAGAGGGCTTTGTCCCACGAGCAAAATATTGGAGGATCATTTGAAACACTTGGAGCTGGTGTTTCAGAAGTTGCATGAATATAAACTGTATACTAAGGAAAGTAAATGTGCTTTTAAACAATTGTGCGTGAACGTTTTTGGACATATAGTTGGTGGTGGCGTAATTGAGGTGGATCCAAAGAAAGTGGAAGCAATAAAGTCTTAAGAAATTCTAACCACTATATCAAATGTTCGTTCCTTTCTTGGTTTAGTGGGATACTATTGCAAGTTTGTCCGCAATTTTGCAAAAATTGCTCTTTCATTTATTGAGTTAACAAATAATAGTATACCGTTTTATTGGACACCAGCTTGTTAGTGTGCTTTTATACCGTTGAAAGAGATCTTGACTACAGAATTCTTAAGATTCTGGATCTTGATAAACCCTTCAAAGTGCATTGTGATGCTGTGTTGCAGCAAGATTGTGATAAAGCAGTTGGTGTTACACTAAGGCAACATAGTTGTCCTGTTGCGTTTTATTCCAAAAAATTGGATGAAACCCAACGAAGATGGCCAATGCATGAGAAAGAGATGTTTATTGTAGTGTCAGCACTGGAACACTAGAGACACTACTTGGGTGGATACACCAATGTTTATACAGATAATAACACACTAAACTACTTTGCTATGCAGCCTAAGCTTATGCCAAAGCAGGCTCATTGGCAAGAGAAGCTTGCTAGATATGATATTGAAATCATCTATAAATCTGGTAAAGACAATATTGTTCCAGATGCATTGAGTTGTCAAGCTCAGTTCTGGGCAATATCAGCAATCAGTTTGGATTGGTTGGAAGACATTCGGGCTTCGTATGGAAGTGATCCATTGGCGAAAGCAGTCTTGCACTATGTGGAGTTGTCGAAACAAAACCCTAGTAGCGAAGTAGCAAAAGTTGCTAGTTGTGCCAACGCAAAACTTCACTTCTCAGTTTAGGATGGGCTTATATTCTATAAACAAGAAAGATTGTATCTTCCCTCTAAAGATCTACAACAGTTGTTTCTATGGGAACATCACAATGTTCCGGCAACAGGACATGGTGGAAAATGCAAGACCCTTGCTTCATTGAAAAGGGATTTTTCTGCTCTGGTATGGAAGGTGATGTAGTGGACTATGTCCATTCCTACCTTATATGCTAGCAATGTAAGTGTAGAACTAAGAAGCAGGTTGGAAAGCCACAGTGCATTCTTACACTAACATGGCCATTTCAAAGTGTGACACTTGATTTCGTCACTTGCTTGCCGAAGTCTAAAGGTTATGATACTTTGATGGTGGTTGTGGATTGGTTGTCAAAGATTGCACACTTCATTCCAACTATGGAAATAGTGAATGTGAAGCAAGTAGCAAAGCTTTTTTTCCATGAAGTAGTGCAGGTTCGTGGTCTTCCTAAAGAGATGATCTTGGATAGAGATTCGAGATTTACAGGGAAATTTTGTGGCACACTGTTTCAGTTGTTTGGTACCAGGTTGAAGTTTAGTATGACTTATCATCCTCAAACTGATGGGCAAACTGAATGTGTGAATGCTCAAGTTAAGGATTATCTACGGTACTATGTCTCAGCAGACCAATGCAACTGGGTTGAGAATTTGGATACAACAAAAATCTATTATAACAACACATTTCACAGCACTATTGACTGTTCTCCATAAAAGATACTACAAAGAAA